GTCAGTAATTGTTGGGGGCAATATGCTGATTCTGCAAACCGCTTAGAGAGGGCTGTAAAGCAGTGTGAAGCGGTATATAAGTCTAAGTGCTATTGCTATTACCTTGGAGAGAAGTCAGGTCACTGCATCATCTCGAAAGAGAAATAATAAAGGCAGAATATAGCTCTTTGCTGAGTCAAGGATCGCTAGATAACATTGTAACCCAGCAATGGAATAAAGCCTGTTGAGATAAAGAACTTGAACAGATACAAGAGGAACACACATAACATCTGCAGCATAAATTTTATTTCCAGAAATATTTTCAGTTTAAAAACAAAAAGTTGCATTTCAATCTTGAAACCAGCAAGACTGATAAATTCATCCCCATGGCAACGTGGAGCTTCCCACCAAACATAAGACATATTAAGAATGCTGATTCTACTTTCAAACTGAGCTTTAAAAAGTCAGATAGAATATGTGTTTGTACATTTATTAAGCACCAAACCCCAGCTAGTTTAATGGAGTTACTCTCAAAATCAGCATTCATAGGATTGCATTCCATATACAAAGAAATTGCTTTATAATAAGAATTACTTAATGCAGTATATGAAGCATGAATTGTGCTTTGTAACAATTTGAGGAAACAGAGTTGTACTCCAATGTCTATGTTTACCATGATTTCAGAATTATGCTGGATAGTCTCATTTGTTTTCTGATTTTGAAAAGTCACTTTTTACAGCTACAACTAGATTCTGGATAACACAGAATGTTGGTAACAATATAAGGTCTGATATGTTAATAAGTCCTAATAAAACTGTCGATTAATATAACAGTGTCCTCACCCCAGAAAGCTTTTTCGGTAGATTACCTCATGCTAGCGTTATAATTGTAAAATTACTACAAGCCAACATTATAAGCAGCTTGGTTATTGAGTTTTTCTAATGGTACTGATTCTGCTACAAAACTTAATTATTGACAATTTAGAATAGTCATACTTTTGATCTTTTCCTACTCTTGGAACATTTCCTAGCAAGTATTTGTTACTACAGAATTCATCTTTCTGCTGGCAACCCAACCCCCCCGCTATGTATCCAGCTTATTTTAAGCAATTTCTTTTTAGCCAAGCCATTATTAATTTTGAGAGCATAAATCATCTTGCTGAAGACCATAAACTACAGTTAAGAGTTACAAACATATCTGGGAAGCTTTTGTGATTTATATGCATGGAAAAATCTGAATATTTATGGAATCTACATTGAACAAAAATGTTTCAAAAACCAGGCTTCCATTTCAGTAGAATTCCAGTCAAGGTACATTGGGTACAAAGACATATCCAACAGAGATATTTTATTCATTTAACTGGGTGGAAAATAAGCTTTGGAGCTTTACAGCAGAACCAAAGTTGGCAAAATAAATAATACTTTAGCTATGACACAATTTAGATATGAGTTATACAAATGTTTTTGGTGGCAATAACTTAGTTGTCTTAGTTGTCTAGCAACTAAATATAATATCAGCAGGACCACTTTCCAAGCAATTAATTTTGAGGTTGGGGACTCTGGGAGAGTAACCAATGCATAGAGCTCATGAGAAACATTTCATTTAAATAACTTTAGTGCTGTGCCCCAAATTACTGAAATAACCTATGGAGAATTGTAGAAATATCTTCACTGAACAGTAGCTTATCATTATTGATGCGTACAGTGATGAATAATGACTTATTATCAAACATTATATTTATGTCAACTAGATATTATAGACATCTAAGAAAATACAAAGAATCCTACAATTCTTACAATGAATTTTATACATTTAAATGGAAATCAGCTCCCACTGAATTCAACAGGAGTTACTTCCTTATAAATGGACTGAAGGGGAAACGGTGGAATGGAACATTCTCAAGAAAAGCAGAGACAGAAAAAAATAAAAAAGATATATTTATACAAGTTCAAAGATAGCAGAACAAAGCAAAAGTTTGGTCCAAATAATATACAAAATTTCTACAAAGGATATGAATAGATTTTCATTATCTTTGCAAACTTCTATGAAGAAGTCATATTTTTTTCTTCTGTAACACAAAGTCCTTTACAAAGAGAACATATGATTATAGCAGTTTAATTCCACAATATCATGTACCAATCCAGAGTATCAAAATAGAGCAACTCACTTGTTAAATTCTATATGAATTAAGTAATTTCTTTAATCAGTTATTAGACGCAGTCTAAACATTTAAATATTGTTTGGTCATTACAAAATCATATAGAAGGTGATACTAGCACCTTCTGGACAGTTTATCAGAAAAATCAAGAGGTTTTACCAGACAATATCCTTCAGGCTAGAAATGTACAATCAGATGCTTTGCATGCAAGTAGAAGCCTAGCATATCAGAAATTACTCTAGATTTCTCTTTGATATTCTAGATATAAAAAGCACTGTTTCAGAAGGGATTAATTTAAACATGCAATTGATTATACACCTATAATCTGAATTGGTAACATCCAGATTATTTTTTTTTCTTTTCATAGAAAAAGTGAGCTCCTGTACAGTATAAATGCTGTTCTCATTTAAATGGGTTCCAAAGAAATTTAACAATATTAAATTAAAAATTAAATAGCCTGCCGATTGGTAAAAATGACAAGGCAGTTCTCTCTAGTTACAATAGTAGTCTACATGAAACAGGTTGCTTTTTCAGCTGTTCCTTGATTCTACTGCAGTGTTTCTCAAACTTGGCTACTTTAAGATGTGTGGACTTCATTTCCCAGAATCCCCTAGTCAGCCGGCTGGCTGGGGAATTTTGAGAGATGAAGTCTGCATATCTTAACGTGCTAACACTGATCTATTGATTGCACAGACAACCTTTCCTTGGAAAGAAACACTGGCTGGTATCCATTCATGCAGAGGCGTAGCGTGGGGGGTGCAGGGGGGGCCGGCCGCACCGGGCGCAACATCTGGGGGGGGCGCGCTCGCACTCGCAGCTCTCTGCCCCTGCCTGGCTCACTCACTCTCTCTGCAGTGCTGGCTGTGCGAATCCGATCCGAGCCGCCGGGTCGCCGACGCCGCCCACTGTGGAGGGGAGCGCAAATTACTTGCCCCGGGTGCTGACAACCCACGCTACGCCACTGCATTCATATAAGGCAGGGGTAGTCAACCTTGGCTCTTTTATGACTCGTGGACTTCAACTCCCAGAATTCCTGAGCCAGCACAGCACAGCTGGCTCAGGAATTCTGGTAGTTGAAGTCCACGAGTCATAAAAGAGCCAAGGTTGACTACCCCTGATGTAAGGGGAGAGGCTTTTTTGCCAACATTTTCTCTCCCTCCCACCCTCCACTGGGCAGGTGCTTTCTTTTACTACATCTCACAACATTCCTGGTGGTCACCAATTCTGCAGAAGCGATTTAGGGAACCATGAAAAAAGATGAAAGGAGAGGTAGGATAAAACATTCCATATACTGTATACAGAAACTGTCCCAATTATGGGAGCATGGAAAAATTAAAATTCTGTGAGTCTTCTCTATGAAGCGGCATATACTTCTATCCTGCCTTTCCTGCATCATCTGAGGGGCTTCATCCTTTGTAGTTACTCTGGCTGTATGTACAATTTCAGATAAGCTTTTGTACATAATCCTTTAAGACAGTGTCTCTCAACCTTGGCAATTTTAAAACATGCTTTTGGGAGAATTCTAGGGGAAGTCTACATTGTCTTAAAATTGACAGGTTTGAGAAATACTGCTTTAGGAGAAAAACAAAGGGATTCTTTGAAGTATGTGCATATTTTACATTGAAATGCATAACATGACATACAAATATATAAGATGTTTGCTATTACTTGCAACCCAGAATGTGCATTTGGACTGCACTGAGATTGCTAATGCAAACTAGCTCGGACAATGAATGAGAGTATGGTCATTTCAGGAGAAAACAAGGTTAATGATAAGATACTAACATATTTTAAATGTCTTTAAATCATACACCATTAAAAAATCATGATTCAAAAATCTCCTTAAAAGAATGAAGTTTCATCAGCCTCTGCTACAAGCAGAATGCACATTACTTGCATTATAATCCAAAAATTCAAACCATATTTATTAGTTTTTTTTAAAAAAAAATCCACCTTTTTACTTTATAAATAACTCAAGGTGGCAAACATACATAATAAACCTTTGTCCTGACATCAGTGGGAAAAATTCTACCAAATCTGCAGGCTTTAACAACTTGCCATTCATCTAGTAGCCATAAGTAACAAAGAATTCTATACACAAGTGGATTGTACATTTTTCCATTTCTTTTTCACAAATCCATTCTTGATACTATATTGGAAGGAAATGAAGAGAACTGTGCCTCTAGCTCTACATTTCTAGGCCTCTTGCTTGGCAGAAAGTATTTAAAAAAAATAAAAGAATCTGCTCATTAGCTACTGCCTATATTAAATCAAAATAATAATAATAATAAGCAGCAGAACTCAATATGAATGAAGGCCAGCATCAACTGAAGAACTGGCAACTGTGATTTCACATTGTTGTGAACAGATAATAATCAGTCAATTGCAAAAGGCAGCTTTCCTCAGAACACCTTATATCTTGCGACAATACATCTAACACCATCAAACATCCACATCTGCCTTTCCCAGGTCCTTGGGAAGGAGTTGACAGGTGGACAAAAATATAAATCCAGTCTGAACATCTGGCTGACTGTGTGACAGACCATAATAATAATAACAACCAGCTTTTTTAATCCTGGCCTAAGAGAAGGAGCATCTAGCTTAGAAACATAGCAGAGAAAACCTTTAGCAAGTTAATCTACTTATCTTTTGTGGGCTTATTTTCAAGGCCAAATTAATGTCATCAAACTGCATTGTCTAATTATTACTATACGATATCCACAGAATCCATTCACAACAAAAGAAAGCAAATATTAGCCAAAAATCTTCTTCACTGTCCTAGGATGAAATAATTTAAAATAAATACATTAACTGAAAAGAAATCTATCCAAAATTAAAATTTGACCAGAAAAATAAAGTTTAAAAACATTTATTAACATGCCAGAAATGCTTGTCTGTATGTTGCCTTTTTTCCTTCATGTTCTTGCAGTGTTGACTTAAATTAACTGCTCAGGTAAGTTGCTTGTAAGGTGATTCAGGTTTGTGATTCTTTTCTATTCCTCTTGCAAAGAGTTTAATTAATTGGCAGTGAACTCTGAAAATGTAAGAAATGGTAAAATCTTCACATGATAAAATTCTATCAATTCTATCAATCTGCCAATCACTAATAAGAACAAAATCCTCTCAATTATTCAGTGTACGAAGCTATTCACAATGGCAATTTGAGATAGCAAATACAGCTATGTTTTGTGTTTTTCCTACTATATTTTTTATTTGGAGAAATGCCATAATAAATAAATGGAATCATCTAGCCCAAATTAAGATCTCTTCACATATACCTGTGTATCTCTTATTAGCTTTTAGACTGTCTGGATTGTTTCCAGCATCTCAAGTCCAAGTAACATATATTGGATTCAGGTATAAGTCAGATATAGAATTATTTGGGATTTGGCCTAGAATTTGTAAATAATAATATATATCTTAGTATATTATTTGAACCAAACCAATGGATGCAGGTTGCTCCCAACCCTAATTTTAAGATCAGTAACTCTTACTAGTATTCTGTGAATTTATCTAATCCCTTTTCAAAATTATTTACATGAGTAATGGTCACCAGATTCTGTAGTAATGAATTCCACAGGACTACGGTAATTAGGTATTGTTTAACCATGTTTGGTTGAACAAACCATCATATACTCTTTTTATCATCTACTTAGAACTGTGGCTGGGAAGATGATTTTTCAAAATAATTCATGAAAAAAAATTCTCCCTTCCTGAGAACTGCTACTGGAGGCAATAAATAGTCTAAAGTTCTGCTTAATAAAACCTCTTGACATTTTTTTAGGTGAGAGGATTAAAACTTTTTTTTTCATTAGGAGTGCAGAACGATGCATATGTAAAAAAGGTACCAGATCTCTATCTACAGTGGAAGTACACTGTCAATTTTAAAACCCCTCTTAGGTGAATTGCACTCTTAATCTCTTATTTGTAGATTCTTTTTTTTTAAAAGAAAGTTACTCACTTGACTTCAATAGTTGAACAATCCAGGGTCTCCCCATCACAGTTCCAGGTACTGCTGGGGGGAAGGCAGCAGCAAGCTGGGTGGTCTCTACAGAACTGACCAAAGTGTTTTTTCCGCATACCCTGGTCGTCATTGTCACCATTATCAAAATGCTTTGATGTAAAACGAAACTTTTTAATCCGATAAACCTCTACAAAGCTGAAGTCAAACTGCAGAGAAATTGTAGGAAGCAAATTACAGCATTTGTTGCCTTAAAAATTGTCAAAAGACATGTCAGTTTTCTGAGACTTTTTTTGTCTAAATAGCACTTAACTAAATTTTGTTTAAATGACACTTAGCACTACAATGTAAAATACAGTTAGGTGTACTCAGACATACAATAGGTTTAAGCATATCTAAGTCTAGATTCTGATAATTGTGCTATAAAATTCAATTTTCTGAACAACCTTTTCTTTACCAGTAGAATAAACTATACACTGCACACAAAACTATTTCTATAAATGAAGTAGGTGAAATATTTGCATTTGCTATAATTTTCATCTGAGCTACATTAAACTGATTGAATGCCACTAGAGTAGTACAAGTAATTCCCATGTTAAGGAATGACTTGAAGAAATCCCTAGATACGAAAGAGCAACCTGTTACAAAATTGTAGATAGTTCACCTGTTACAGTATTTTAAATGTTGGACATCTGACCAACAATGTGTTACAACACAAAATGGCAGATGGCATTCTCCTCTCTTGCGCTGATGAACTGCTGAAGCTGCGCAATACTTTCATCAGCATCATTGAAAAAGTGCATGTGCTTTTAGTGCAGTATACAAGTTGTTTTCAACAGTTCACAAAAGTACTACGTGGCTTCAGTAGTCCGTCGGCTCCAGGAAGGAGAATGCCATCCGCCATTTTGAATCGGATCACTTTGCCTGCAGGAAAAGTGAGGGATTGAATTCTAGCAGATGGTGAGAAATGAAATTCCAGTGTTTTCTCCTTGCTGAAAGTCTGTTTCTCATATAACTCAGTTTTAAGGCATAAAACCTAAAGTTGTAAGTTTAAAATTTTACAAAAAGCTTTGTAAACATTGTTGTTGCTCCTTCCTGATATGAAGAAGTACAAGTACAGTAACCTGTTCCAACTTAAATACAAATTTGGGTTACAGGCAGAATTAAGGAATGGAAGTGTTTGTTCTCTGCAGACTATCTGTAGAACATATATGTTACATAAAGGTAACTTTTAGATCTTCTCCTTCAATTCTATGAACATTATGTCCCATTTACAGATGAAAAGCTGTGAAATACTGTCTAACACAGGCATGTCAAACTTGCGACGTCATGTGATGTCGCACAACATATTGGGACTTTTCCCCCATTGCTGGCAATGGGGTGGGTGCGGTTTCGGCGTGACGCATCTGGCCCGTGAGTCGACAGTTTGACATGCCTGGTCTAATGCTATCCAGAGAACATTATGTAAAGAGGGATACAATTGTAAAACTAAAATAACTAGGTTATTAGGCCTAGCTGCAGGGAGGGCAAAGAATTAAATGTTGAAATACTACCCCTTACATATTTGCGGGCAGCATTACAACACAAGTATGAAAGGGTGTAACTTGTATCATGGCATTACAATGCATGATTCATCACTTTGCATGTTTCATGCAAACTCGGAATATATTAAGGACCCTGTTGGTTTTACTATTAGCTGATTAATCATCCCTGGCTGATGTTTGTACTTATTTATTTTGTGGATGTTTTTACTGTTTCAATGATTTGTAATTGTTTTGTTTTATAATTTTAGAATTGTAAGCTGCCCAGAGTCACTTGGTTCAGTTGGTTGGCTATAAAAAAATTGAATGAATAAATAAATAAAATACAGCCCCATCCATGGAGTGGTAAGGACTAAGCAGCATTAGTGAAAATAACCAATCAATTAGTCTCCCTCCTTCTGAAAAGGACACTTAGCTAGAGGGTGATGGGATGAAGCATTCTCTGAGCTGTAAGTTCTAGAAAGTCTAGATTTTATCCACACTTCTTATAAGTTATGCAATTGTTCTGTTTTGTGCTTCACCACAAGACTATTAATCTACATCCGATTGTGCCACCGTTCCAATTGTGAAGATATACTGTTACAGAGCAAAATACGCACCTGATCATGCTGGTTTGTATGCCTTAAGAGGTATCTTAGAAAATTTAATCGGGAACATTTACGAACTAGAATGAGGTCTGCAGAGCCATCCGCCAGGTGAGCAGCTGGTGAAAGGCCTTTAGGACTCCGTGGACAGGCACAGCTAATATTTACAGCATTGATGGCTAGAAACTTCCCTCTAATAACTTTCCATTCTCCTTCCTCATCCCCTGAAAGAGATATATTTGCATGTTGCTCTTGCTATTATCTGGATTCTGAGCTATGTTTTAAGACATGCTTGACTCCATAAAGGGTGAAGTAATGGGTGGCCATTTTCCCAACCTTACATCTCCCAGATGTATCAGGAACGGTAACTGAGGTTCTAATCAAACTGAGTTTTATGACTGCTTTTCTTTCAAAATAAATTGAGTGATTTTTGCAATTTTTTAAAAAAAATTTTTAAATATAATATAATATAAGCGTTAATATAATGCATAACTCAACCCAAGGTCCTTGGCAAAACAGGACTGCAGAGACTCACCTGCACTGTTAACTAGAATCCAAATTTGGATATTTGTGCTGATTTCTTCTCAAAAGCTCTAAAATTACTGATAAATCCCTAAGTCTCATATAGGTCGTCCTCCACTTACAACCATAATTGGGCCCAGAATCTCGGTTGAGTGAAGCAGTCATTACGTCAGACACCACATGATCACTGCTCTCAACAATCACAATCCCAGCTCTCCCAGTTGTAGTTGTTAAGTGACCACATAGGGGCTGGAGAGAGGACCTGGGTGTTCTACCACATCTGAGAGGCCTCAACCCTCTTCCTGACCAACCTGGAGAACAATCACAAGAATGACAGTGTTTGCTAGTGTTTGGCCAGATTTGAGGTCCCTTCCTCAAGTGCACTGGGAGATTTTGGAGGGAAAATGCCTTGGCATGCTGTAAGAACAGAACTTTGGAAGTGAAAGTGCAAGCAAACCGCAGCTTTCTGAAAGGCTCAAAATGCTGGCCTTCACTAGCATTTTTTGCCAGATTTGAGGTCGTTCCGCCAACTTGTGGAAGGAATTTCTTCCCTCTGCATTGAAAAGAGTGGAAATCCCTTGGTGTGCTGGGGGAACAGACCTCAAATCCAATATCCCCTCCCCTGGCAAACTTCCCTGTTGATTCCCTCATTGACATTTTGGGGAAGCCAGCAGAGAATGTTGCAAATGGTGATCCTATGCTGCAGATTGTAAATGCAAACGGGTTTGTGGTCATGTGACCAGAAGGTCCAGTCCAACATTTTACAATGCCTGGATGTGATTTTACAGGCCATAAAGTACTCAACCGTTTGTAGCCCATCAGGCTGGAAACGGCTGGTAAATGACTGGTTGTACGTTGCGGATTATCTGTATTTCTTTACTGCTTTTTATATCTATAATCTGTCTTCCAAGAGTTCAAGGCAGCCTACATTGTCCTTTTTCTTCTAGTATAGTCCAGATGGCTGGACTGTTTTTCTTATCATGCCCAACCAATTGTGGTAATGTACAGAGGAGACAAGACTTGAAGTTTTTCAAAGGCTACTTGCTATCCCTAGTTCAGGGATATTTAACGTTTTATGCTTCCCATATCCCAAACATTTCCATTACGCTTTTTTTTCAATATTGGCATGGACTTGAAATAGAATTTAAACCAAGGAGAATACTCAGTCTGGCCAGTTCTTGTACTTCAACTGAAATCAGAAATCTTTAATGGCATGGAGTGAAGCACAATCATGCTGTTTCTTGATGAGCTGAGAACCCAGCTGAAAACTGGAAATCTACTTGATAATATCAACAGTAAAGGAACAAGCAGTCAAGAAATATGCCATGGGCTAGTACTTGGTAGAATAGCCATGAAGACCTCAGAAGAGTTATTCCGATGCTGTCATGTGTCTACACTTACAAAGATCGGAATAGTGCAAGCAATGGTTTTCTATTGCGACAGTCTAAGGCAGGGGTCCCCAACCCCTGGTCCATGGACCGGTACCAGGCTGCGGCATGCTAACAACTGGTCCGCACGAACAAAGTCCCATCTGCGGGATGCAGGCAGCACATGAAACCACGCCCCCTCCGGTCCGCGGAAAAAACTCTCTCCACGTAACTGGTCCCTGGTGCCCAAAAGGTTGGGGACCTCTGGTTCTAAGGAACCAAAAGTTGGACTTCGAAGAAGTAGGACAGAAAGTGGCTTTTACACCAAGAAAAATACAAACAGATTTCAGCATTACTTTAACTCCAAAGTTGGTAATTGAATACACTGCATTTACCATAGTTTCACAAACTGTACCAAATTGAAGCATCTGCTATAAATCAGCATTTATACTGAATGATAATAAATCTGAAAAAAACCTGTCTGATCATAAACTCCTCTGAATTTTCCTTGGGCTTCTACAGCAGTTAAATTAATTCTTTTCTTGTTCTGATTTGGAATCTGTCTTTATACTTGTCATCCAAATAAAAGAGGTATTCGAAACTAACTGAGCAAATCTAACCATTAACAAACAAGGTTCTACAAACTACAAAGTTACTTTTAATCTCCTTTTCCGTTTTCTTCTGTTGTTTCTCCAGCTGTAGTTTACTTTGCTTGCAAATCCGGCACCTGGACAACAAAAATAACAACTTCAGTATTGAAAATATATCAGAGGTATTAAAAAATTAATTTAATTTTTAATTAATTAAATTTTAATTTAATTTAATTTAATTTAATTAATCAACATGACAGCCTATGACTCACTGAGTCTTTGTTTCAGAGCTATTTCCTTACCAAATTCCTCAATGCCTTCAATAATGGCAGAGCTTCTAACGTACTGCCTTCATTGAAAAAGCTCTTAAAAATTTAGGGAGATATTCAGAGATGTATTTGTCTTGAAAAAAGCCCATGTTGAACTGTACAGCACAATCAGTTAGGAGTCAGAGGCAATGTTTTGTATTATGTCATTAAATGTTTTGTAAAATTTTCCAAATTTCAATTCCACAGGAGTCATGGGTTCTGAATTTATAGAATGTATTCTGTAAGTTACTCCATGTGAGTTACCTTGGTTCAAAATATCTTTCTCTACGGTCCAATTAACGTTTACACACAGGCAAGCATGAGAATTTTAGTAATACATACGTACATATACCTAAACACACACATATATATTCACACACATGTGTCTGTGTATATAAATGAATGACTTCTCTGCAGACAAAATGGATTTAACAGGACACCATTCATTTTGCTGCATGATACCGTGTCATAAGTAGCATTTCAAATGTTTTAATTTACATAAGCAGAAAATTTCATGCCTGATGATTTAGAATCGTCTTTGTGAATCCTTGGCATGATTAACTCAACTTCTTTTTTTACATTCTTAAAATTTAGCCAAATTAGCAAATGTATTCCTGTCTTTCTACTCGACAGGCGCTCGAAGTGAACTGAATGATTTAGCCTACCCAGTTCTGCAGGGTTTCTTATCTCTTGGAGAGCCCATGGCATGTGCTGCTGGTAAAAGAGATACTGTTCCCTCGTAGTAATGATGGGAGAGGAAAGTCTTGAAACCTTGGGAGAAAAAAAAATGGAAGAAAGCATTAATTCTTGCTTTGTCTTCTACCTATTCTCCCACAGAGCTGGAAGAGAACAAATATTTTACATCTGCTCACTATTCTGTGGATGTTTCCTACTACTTGCTCTCCCAGTGCCCCAAATAAGCACTTTTTAATGCAACCTCTTGGTATTGTCTACATCAGGGGTATCAAACTGGCGGCCCACAGGTCGGATGCGTCACGTGTAAGCCATGTTCACCCTGGCTCCACAAAGGCAAAAATGTCACGATACGTCATGTGACGCAATCAGGTTTGACACCCATGGTCTACATGTTCCCTTTACATAAAGGCCACTGTTTGTGGGTTAAATTTCCACCTCTGCACTCAGTATTAGTGTGGTTATCCACTGGTCTCTTTTCCCTGGAGAGTCATTCTCTAGAGCAGAGGTCCCCAACCTTTTGGGCACCAGGGACCGGTTCCGTGGAGAGAGGTTTTTCTGCGGGCCAGAGGGTATGTGATTTTGTGTGCTACCTGCATCCCGCGGATGGGGCTTTGCTTGTGCAGACCAGTTGCTGGCATGCCGCGGCCCGGTACTGGTCCACGGACCAGGGGTTGCGATCCCTGCTCTAGAGCCGTATCTATCACTTTTTTTTCTTAGTAAATCTCCTTTAGGTACCATCTAAATGTGCTCTGTAGACTTTCCTGACTTGGAGACTCAATGATTCGGAAAGAAATGCCTGCCATGTCTTCCACACCCTGATTATTCAGACACAGAACGGATATCAAGTACAACAGAGGAGTGACCTGATCAACCAGTACCAATCATAGGAACATATGATTTCCTTAACTAGACTGTTGAGTGCAGGCATCATTCTAAGAAATAAACTATGGCTTGTTAACAGCATTGGCTAAATTTACAAAATATGGTAAGCTAAAAACAAAACTAGCATTGTGTAGCCTAGAGCTATAGATGATCTGCATCAAACTAACATTCACTGCTTAAGCCACAAATGGCTGGGTTTAGGACAGAAAACTTTAAAGTTAAATCCAGGGTCAAGTCAACCTTCCATTAGGGAAAGTTGGCCCATCCTATCTCACCAGGTTGTTGATGGGGAAAAAAATTGTGCTAGAGTTAATACTCAGAGCTCCTGAAGAAAAAGTGGGATAAAGAAAAAAGTTCAAAAAGTTGAAAATTGTTAGATTTATATCTTATTTTTTTCTCCCAGGTGGTATACATGATGAATTGCCTTCATTTTTCTCCACAATAAGATCACAGTGGGAGATAGATTATCAATAGAAGGGAAGAAGTAGGTTATGAAGGAACCATAATGGCACAGTGGTTAGAATGCTGTATTGCAGGGTAACTCTGCCCACTGCCAGGAGTTCGATCCTGAGTGGCTCAAGATGGACTCAGCCTTCTATCCTTCTCAAGTTGGTAAATTGAGGACCCAGGTTGTTTGGGGCAATATGCTGACATTGTAAAACACCCATAGAGTGCTGTAAAGCACTATGGGGCAGTGTACTATATAAGTCTAAATGCTATTGCTATGTTAAGAGGGTGGCTTATTCAATGTCAACTAGTGATTCTATACTACAAGAGGGCTTGGACCGAGGTCTCTACAGTTCTAGTCCAAATCACTAACCACAAGATAACATGGGAACAATGATTTAATTAAATGTATTGCAATTTTAATAGAAAAGATTTAAAAAATGGTGGGGGAGGGGAAATCTGTTGGCTACTTGACATAAAAGATAGATGCTGAAGAGATACAAGATGTTACCTGAGAAGTCATATCTGGCAGGGCCCATCCAGCGTTTCTGTTCACTGTCTTTCAATACATCTCCATAAAAACCATATCCCAATAGTGATACACAGTATTTCAGAAATGTATTATTGCGATGTACTGAACAAACATCCAGAGGTTGATTATCTCCTATTAACAAGAGGTATTTCATTACTGAGTCACTGTAAAATTGTCTTATATTATAACATATAAGATATATTCATATATAAAATATTGTAAAATATAAAAAAATGTCTTATTTTTAAAATAAGACAGTCGGCAAAAAACTCCTATTTTCTTTATGTCTATAAAAATTATCAAAGAGATCTAAGCTAGAATTAAGGAGAAATGTCATGACAGTGAGAACAACTGATCAGTGGAATGACTTGCTTCCAGAAGTTGTAGGTACTCCATCACTGGAGACTTTCAAGAAGATATTGGATAAGCATTTGCCCAGAATGGTATAAGGTTTCCTGCTTGAGCAGGAGAGTGGACTAGAAGACCTCCAAAGTTCCTTCCAATCCTTTTATTCTATGTTCTAGTTATAGTGAGAAGCATTACAATGCTCCTGTACTAGGATAATGACCACTCTATCCTATTTATGACTAAAATGGAATGAAGGAGGAAAATACACACAGCCTGAAAATATATCCTGGCAAACCAGGATACCTGGAATAGTGATTGTGCAGAAGTGATAGTTGTGTGCAACCAACTATTAATCAGCTAGAAGTTGCTCACCTACAAGGGCAAAAAATAACCTCAATAAGGAATGCATAACACAATGCTTCTATAGAACAAATGATACTAACATTGTGGTGTCTGTCATCTGTGCTTTTGAGTCATAGGTGGCTATAAACTGAAGTGGTTCCTCAGTATAACTTTCTGCCAGCAGAATGCTTTCATGGTCAGGTCCAACTGCCACATCTTCTATGCCACCACTGTATCATAAATTTTAGTGGAATAGCAAGGCTCCTGCAAAATCCTCAGCTGGCATTAGTGGCATCTTAATAGTCAGCAACTCTGTTTTGGTTTTGCATTTGATTTTTTTTTTCATTTGCCAATAGTAGTAACGATACAGGAAAACTTCTTAGAGTGTTTAAAATTGTGTCCATGAGCCCGAAAGCAAACTAATACTTACCCACAATGATATGTAATGCAGATGTTACTGGATCATTGATGCCGACTGTTGCATAGCATATGCAATCGGTCGAACCTGGAAAGTAAGTGAACTTTACATTGTCTGTAAATCAAAACATTATGAAGACAAAGATCACCTTAACTGAGGATTAAGTTGCCAAAGAGAGCTGCAGATTTCACTTGTTTGGTCAGTTGTGTGGCTTCTGGGAACTACCAGATTATGCTGGTAGAGACCTTGGGAGACCGAACAAGAAATGCTATGAAGGGAATGGTCATCCAATGGAGTACATCACAGGTGTCAAACTCGCTGCGTCATGTGACATGACGTATCGTGACTTTTTTTGGATTGCCGAAGCTGGGGTGGCGGCCTCAGCATGATGCAACCGGCCCGCGGGCCGGCAGTTTGACACCCCTGGAGTGCATGGTCCTCAGCTGCATAATGAGCAGAAAAAGAGGCTCAGGAAGAGCACTCCCTTGCTTCTCAGGATATTAAGGAGAATGTGGGAGATTTATACTTTCAGGTTTGCAAGATTCTATTAATGTAGCTTTACAATAAAGTAGAACTAGCTCATCTGGTTGTGTTTCCAGGCTGGTTTAACTGGGAAGGCTAACAAACTGGTACTCTTTGCCAAGACTGGAGCAAAATAACTATATTTAATATGTACTTTAAACAAAAAAATCGATTTGTCAGATAGACAAATAAAAATGTAAATAAAAAGTGAATAATAAAAGTGTTAAAAAAAGTAAAAAGATAGACTAAGCCAGGGGTAGGCAACCTTGGCTCTTTTATGACTTGTGGACTTCAACTCCCAGAATTCTTGAGCCAGCATGGCTGGCTCAGGAATTCTGGGAGTTGAAGTCCACAAGTCATAAAAGAGCCAAGGTTGCCTACCCCTGGACTAAGCCAACTATATTTTTGGTTACTTTTTACACAACAGTGACTGCCAATAGATCCTCTGCAAGAGAATTAACATCAAGGCAGAGTCAACTGATTCCAGTGGAATACATCAACAGCACAGGCTGCCAGACCTCCAGAAAGCACAGGTTTAATTGGATTGACTGTTGATTTGAACACTGACCCCCTTCTAACAGAAACTATAATTCACAATGGATTATAAGCAACAGAGGTATATTTTCAGGCAGAAAATAAAGAGCAGGGGAAATCAATTTTCTGGGGAAAGCGTCTTTCTTCCAATCCTTTAGAAAGGTATATTCTTGAAACCAGATTGAAATCTAGTGCTCAATTGTAAAATAAGAGCAGCCAGAGATTAAAAAATAAACTCCCTTGAAAATGATGTAGAAACTACAATTAAGCCAAGACAGTGCTGGGTTGGAGTACCATATTTGGCTGCAAAAATTCAGCTGATGGCTAGTTGGCAGCAAAAGATACAGAAGACTCTCTCTCTTTGCTGGCCAGGAGAGTGGGGTTTTTTGCAGCCCAGATCGACTGCCCTAGCATTAGGCCCTGGTTTGCTTTCCCCTTCCATGCAAATGCTCTTTTCAAGATTTAAAGTTCTTCAAAATTTAAAGTTTTTTCTTCACCTGTGCCTTCACACATAATAATGACAAGCCTCCATAACACAGTCTGAAATACAGCAGATGGCTGTTGGGAATGCAATGGGAAATTGGGAATGCTCTAACTATGAAAGAATACACATCTAACATTTATACTAAAGAGTCAGTGTTTCCAAGCTTTTTAATCCTCCTTAAATAGTTTTAAATTGTGGTGGATATGTATTTCTTCCTGCTGTTTCCTCTCTATATTGTGGTCTTTTAATTTGTTTTTATCGTAAGTTTAATTTTGTTGAGAGTTGCCCTAGGAATTTCCTATTGATTCCATCTATGAATAACTGAGTAATTCTGTGCTCACTATGCAAAGAGGTTTAGGACACAGGCAAATAGTCATATGCTTGTTGACTAAATAAGTATACATTTATAAGGTGATTTCTCATACTGACCTGCCAATGGTTTGCATTGGATGAGTTACTCAGGTTAGTCAAAGGATAAGCATATTTCTTTCAATTATATATTAACAATGTTTGTAGTTATCTGAACTGAATGTAACTAAAGCAAAAGCTCAGAAGGCCAATTTATAACAAAACCATGCTCTATACCAGTGACAGTGAACCTTTTAGAGACCGAGTGCCCCAAAACTGGCCCCACCCCTGCTCCACCTGCCCCTGCCCCGCCCCCACCTGGTCCCCCACCCCGCCTGCCCGCAGGGCCACTCACTGCCTCCAGGGCCTGCCGCAGATTGCCCAGGCAGCCCAGCAGCGCCATGGTGGCCACACCCTCTGCCCGCGCCCCGCAGCATCAACTGCGCGTGGTAGGACATGAGGGCAGAGTCTTGTCTACGCTGCCTGGCTGCCATGTCCTTGGCTGCACTGCTCCGTGTGGGCCATGCTTGGGGGGACTCTCCTCCAGGGGGGCGGCTGGTGAGGAGGTCGTGGGGGGAGGTGAGGCTGGGGTAAGGGCACATGTGCCCACAGAGAGGGCTCCAAGTGCCGCCTCTGGCACGCGTGCCATAGGTTCGCCACCACTGCTCTATACTGTATACTTTTCTTTCTTAGACCTTTTTATACTGCACTATACTGCTAATTAGCATAGTTTAGATATGCTACCAAGATCTCATGTGAGTTAGAGGCTAAAATTCGTTGTAAAATTGGACAATTCCATGAAAGGATTTTATGGATGCTGACAAATCATAAATCATATGATGTTTCTCGTTGGATTCATCCAATCAATAAGCTTGGATTGAATTTATAGAAGCTGAGGAGAACACTGCCTTTCCATTCATTTTCACTTCCAAATTTGACCTTCACATATGCATATGTGAACAAGTTTCAATAAATATTAGGCAATCTAAGCAAAGCCTATAGTTCTAGGCAAGATCTAGTATCTGTTGAGGCTCCTAGTTAACCATTATGCTGTTCCACATATATAATACTACTTTTTCATTTTGGTCCAAGGTGGTAAATACATGATAATAATGTACGGTAGAAGTTCACTATGTTGCAGTTCTTACCAGCAGGAATTATGCCAATCCTGAGACTGCATTGGACTAATTTTGCTTTGGGATTATTTTGATCTATGCCCGAATCCTTCTGAGATCTTCCAATTAGACCATGTATCACTTCACTGAACATTCCGTCCCCACCAACACAAACAACACTGCCGGAAAACACACAAATTAAAACTCACACAGACAGTCAATACATAAATGTGTCAAAGGACCCAATATGAAAATAATACAATTTTATTAAAAGTTATCTTTACGCTACACTATTTAGTCCCTCCCCACGAGGAAATGCATATTATTACTTGAAACAATTATTTAATGCATATTTAAAATAATTTAATGAGGCCGTGACAGGCATTTTTATTACTATTTTGGATATTTAAAAGTAATAATTTCTTGTTTCTCCTGCTCCTGCATTAACATCTCGTTATGGAAAGGGGTTATTGTTCTGTCAATGGTAAATTTCATCCACATTCTTGTCATTCATAAATACTTATCTTTCATAATCACTAGAGCCCATTGCTCTTCTCTCCAACTCTATGGTTTGTCTCTAATAGCAAAAGCTACTCAGGATGTACGTGCAGATGGGAAAGCTTGTCAACTGTCTATTCCCATGGGCAAGATGGGAGCCTTGTGAAGAGAGTAGCTCAGTGGGCAGATCTTTCCCATATATCTGATACTTTGTACCTCTTATGATTGGATATTGTGGCTAGACCCCAATTTCCCCATGATTGGTTCATATATCAATTACTACCCCAGCTGGATATGCCTACCCGTAGAAAAACTTCTTTCCTTGGCAAGGGTACTTACAAGATATCCTCCCCAAGGGGCCATCTCACATGGACAGATACCGCTGTATCTATAGTAAGTATGATTAGAACCATCTATTTATATAGGGATACTTTAAGGATTATATTGATTCCATGGATGGAGGTCCACTGAGAAATGTAATGGTACGATAAGAGCATATATAAAAATATTTAAAAAGTGTTCAATTTGTGATTTGTGAATTGTGATCACCAGCATCAATAGATCCAAGGCATGCATCCCTTTCTCATTCAGTAACATGCTTCTTTATGTTACAATTGGTCTGAGTAGCTGCCATGGCTCTTAAATTCTAATGCTTGGCTAATTATAATGTATGACTGGAAATATCAACCTTGTGCTCTCCCAAAATTTTAATTATAACTTCCTTAGGACTAGGAATTGTAAGTAACTATTTTAATTATTTGGAATTATTAATTATATAGCCCAAAGTTTCTAGAGAGACCAGTTTACCTCCTACTGATATACTGCACAGATTAGATGATAATTGCCCAACCAAGTGGAGGATCATGAGAGTTCAAGTTCAACACAGTTGAAAGGCACCAGATCACCCAACATTCATTTTGCTTGCTACCTATTTTAATTTGTGATTGTGAGTTGCTATGGAAGTTCTGGGATTGTTGTGATTCCGTGCCAGCCTGTGTTCCCAACAGCTGAGTCTGAGGAATCTGAGGAGGAGGTGGAGGAGGCCTTTGAGGGGCCGTCAGGGTCAGAGGGAGGCTCTGATTAATTACAGGACTCACGGCTTGATGAAGAGCCTGGCCCCTCCAGTCGTGTTTCTGATGAAGCTCAGCTGTGTGAGGAGCATGAGTCAGATTCGGAAGGCTCACACCTGGACTTGCTAATTGATGCTCGCAGACATCGTCAATTAGCACGAGAAAAACAACAGCAGTCAATGCGACAACTCCAAAGTAAAAGGAGAAGGCAATGAGAGGCAACGCCCTGGGACTGCTGTATAAAAAGGGGAGGTGTGGGCGGTGCTGGTTGCTGAAGGCAACCGTTTGCAAAGTGCTTCTTGGAATCCTGGTCTGTTCGTCTTGTTTGTAACGTGTTCCTGTGGACTATTTCCTTCCTTTGGACTTGAGTTTTGCTGTTTGTGTTTTGGACTTATTGACAGGTTTGTCACCCAAATAAAAGGGATTTTGTTTTGTTTTAAAGTCTCCAGCCTATTGTATCAGCAGGGGTTTGGTCCTTGTGCCTCTAACAAGGACGGCAATAGGCTGGGATAGAACAGGGGGTGCCGAAAGATGAGATATAACTAATGCAAAATAAACAAATACAGGTAGTCCTCATTTAACAAGCAGGGACTGGCAGCTCCATCACTAAGTGACATGATCATTAAGTGAGACTTCACATTACTGCGATGGAACCTCACTTCTCCTGTGCTAGTTAAGTGAATCATCCACAATCACCAAGTGCAACATCATGCAACCGTGACTTGTGAGTTTACTGCTGGCTTTTCCATTGACTGTTTAGTGGATGCCAGCTGTGAAGCATGCAAATGGCAATCACATGAACGTGGGATGCTGCGACAGTCATGCGAGGGCCAGTCATGAAGTTATTTTTACAGTACCACTGTAACTTTGGATGATCGCTAAATGGCAATTGTTAACTCAGATCTACCTGTAACTAAAAGTAAATAAAGTCAGATTCATTATGTATTTTATTAGATTTACATCTGCCTTTTAATCAGGACAAGATGCCGTATGTAGCATTCCACTCTCCTACCTTTTCCCGTAACAACAAGAATACCAACCCCTGTGAAGTAATAATAATAAATTAAAGTTATATGCCGCCCAACTCTCAACAAGTCTGGGCAGCTTTCTGGGTGGGGAGCCCAAAAGTCACCCAATAAGCTTCCATGGCTGAGGGCAGATTTGTATATGGATCAGGTCCAGGACAACTCCCTTTAGCTGTTTTGCTGCAGCTGACTTGCCTTGGTCAACTCACCACAGGACAATTCAACATGGGATAACTCAAGACAGGGACAAGTGAATTGCAATGGGCCTTGTTTTACTTTAGGTTTGAACTCTTGGAATGGGACAACTCTCCCTGGCTGTCTCACTCTGGCCAACTCGCCATGGCTAACTCACCACAGGACAACTTGCTGAGGGACAATGCAACGTGGGACAACTCAAGACAAGTGAATTGCAGCAGGCCTTGTTTTGCTTTAGGTTTGAACCTTCTCAAGTTAGAAATCCTCGAGGCTGGGCTGAGGAGTTCCAGCGGCCTGTCAGCCAACCCATGGAGCAAGCAGTCCTTGTGTGAATCCAGGCCACAGTGTATCCCGTGGGGCAGGACCAGTGCCTGAATGTCAGCAGAGCACTGGCCCTCGTAGACAGCACTCCAGGAATAGGCAGTGGCAGCAGGCCTCCTCTCAGATACACTCTGCCCTTGGCCTGGATCTGCACAGGGATTCCCCAGCATGCCACACCTGCTCCACAGCTTGGCTGCTGGGCCGCTGGAACTCCATGCTCTGGCTCATCCCAGCCTTGAGAACTTCTAACCTGAGAAGGTTCAAACCTAAAGCAAGACAAGGCCCACTGCAATTCACTTGTCTTATCCCATGTTGAATTGTCCCATGGCAAGTTGTCCTGTGGCGAGGTAACCATGGAGAATTGTCCTATGGTGAGAGGGAGACAGCTGAAGAGTTGTCCCATTCCGATCTGGATCTTCCTACTTCTAGTTCAACATCTGAACAGTTTGTGGAGCCCTATAAGACTGACCAACTCAGAATCACTTGGATTTCATGAAAAATCTTTATTTCTGGTAGGGTAATGTATCTTGCAAAAAGGAGCACAGTGGCTCACATGGTTAGGATGCTGGGTTGACAATTTGCAAGCCTGTGTTCAAAGCCCAAGGACTGCTCTGTGTCAGAGTGAGCTCCTGTCATTCGCTCCACCTGCTCACTTAGCCGTTTGAAGGCATGCGAACGCAAGTAGATAATTAAGTACCACTTTGGTGGGCTCATTAATGGGAACATGAAAAGAACCCCAAACTGGGCATCTCCTCAGCAACGGTAATGTCACCTGCTGATTCTTTCACCACAGTGTTTCCAACACGGTAGTAGTAGTAGTACGTATAATTGCAAGAATTACCAAAGTAATTCTCCCACATAACTTATACCAAGTGTGCTTAACAGCCAGCTTGGTATGTGGTGGCTGTGGGCCAGTTCATCTTCTTCAGCCCTAAGTGGCAAACCACTTCCAAAAACCTTTGGAAAACCTGTTTGGGCAGTTGCCAGGAGTCAACACAACTCAAAGATGCACACACACACACACACACACACACACTTAAGGGGGAGTTACTCTGAGTATCCTTTTGTGCTTTCCACTCCCTGGCCTCAATATTCCCTTCTGTAATAGGTCTATTCCCTCCCTGAACTGTCTTGCTCTCTCTTCTATATTCCCAAGATCTGTCAGGCTTTCCCTCATGCTACTGCTCTTTAATGAATCTCACGTTAATGGTAATTTTAAAAAAAATCTGTTTCCAGTGATTTGCTAGCATTGGGTATATCCCTTAATTTGGACACATAGGAATAATGTTGCTCCATGGAGTGTAAAACATATTTTGTCAGTGGGCTTCAGTGAAAAGTGGAGCTGAACCATGAATCTATGGAAAACTGCATTTGCTTTCCTGAGTCATTTTTTACTCAGGTGAACAAATGGAGTAAAGGACAGGTACTTAAACACAGTACAATCTTGTTTGATGCTTGGCTATGCAAAATGAGCTGGAATAAATGAGAGGAGCTCTCCCATTCATTCAAAGGAGACTTGCACAGGAATAAATATCAGCTTTGGCTACAGCACAAGTGTTTATGTGTCAGTGTCATTTTTTTTTACAAGCAAATCCAGTTAGCGTATTTAATGACTTGAGGTGATTCATTATGGAATTTGTTCTGTATTTGTCTGTGAAAGCAATGCATAGGCTCTGCTGTTTTAATCCAATTGTGGCAAAGCGTTGACCTTGTTACAGGTAAATGGAAGTCAAAACTATTAAAATGGTCTTACAGCATAAAATGTCTTCAAAGCTTTTTTTTTAAAAAAAATGATAGGGATGCATGCTTGGCAGGCAAAGAAAAATTTCATTTTAGAAAAATTTGTTTTTTTAGAAAAAAACAAAACTCAACAGTGGAGCAGATATCATTTGCAAAACTGCTAGGCTAGAGGAATGCTATGCTGACAGATTGAGCTGAAACTGTATGAAGTTAGCACAGACTGCTCTCCTTCAAAACAAAACTAATGTATGATTTAACTACAGCCTGCTTAGTCCTCCAAAAATTCAGTAATTTCTCTTAGCCTATTGCAACAAGAGGCAGAAAGTTATGCAGGTCAAGTTTAGCTGGAAGAAAATCCAAATTTTCTATCAGCTCTACATTTTTTGCCTTAACATCTATGGGAGGTGCTTGTCACCTCTATAAAGATATAAATATACATTTTCCAGTTGGAAATTTGGCAGCTTTACTTGGAAAAGCTTATATCCTGTGACAATACCTTTAATACCATCAAACATCCACATTTGCCTAATCCCAGTCCTTGAGAAGAACTCGTGGTGGTTAAAAATGCTAACTTCAGTCTGAACGTCTGGTGGTGCGTTGGCCCCCTTCTTTGTCACCAAGAATGCTTTTGCCCTCATACAGGCCTAGTAGCCATTTTTAGAAATAAATAGTGAAGAGCTGCTTTCAAACTAAGTGGCATGGAATAAAGAATAGAGGAGTTGGGCCAGGGGCGGGGGCCACGTTCTCGAATCAGAAGGAAGTTGCTTATGCATTTTGCACGTTAATATGCACGTGGCGTGAGTTAACAAATGGATGGCTTAGTCTGGATATGTCATGTAGGTTTGTGCTTTAGTGTGAATTTGTATCTTTTGCCTATGCGTATGTTTCTAAGCATCAGTTTGTCCGATAGGAAATATAAATGCTGTTTCTCATGGAAACACACAAAATAATGGGATTCAAAGTCTACTTTTGCCTTGCATGTATTACTTTTATTCGGGAACTGACTTGTTTTCAACTTCCCCAGTTTGCCTCTGAGATAACATTCCAAATAAGAAGCTCCATGTCAGATGTCTGTAAGAACACATCCAAGGAGTTTTCTTTGACAAGGCCCCATTGTAGATCTACATTGCAAATTCGAGAAACTATCCCAGAAAAGGCTAGGCATTTATGTAAATGCAAACAACATGTAAGTGGCTGTTGGAAGTTCAGCTCAATATGTATTTATTTATGAAATTTATATGTTGCCATATTTTGAGATATTTGCAGTTTTAAAGAGGCTTGGCTTTATTTGAAAGTGTGAGTATATTTATGGATATGTATGAGTGCATGTGTGAGCCTGTATGTGTGTATATGTGTATGTCATGTGCCTGCATGTGCATACTGTATGTGTACATCTATGGGTACAAGCAGGTTTTAGAATTTGTCAATATGTCCTTAACTTTCCTAACATTGGTTTTTATTTAATTTGCATGACCCTGCCTGACGGTTTTGCCTTTACAGTATTTTAACAAACTGGGAAGTTGCTTGGCTCTCCTGTACCCTTTGAAGACACTGAGCAGACACATGTGAACTCCACTTACATGCCCCACAACTTTCAGCAGGCTACAAACCCACCTCCGTTCCACAGAGCACAAAATGTAGTGCGTGTTACACTGAGCAGATAATGCAAAGCTGATTTTTTTTGGTTTATTTTTATGAATGCAGACAGGGAAGGTAGGCTAAACATAAGCTTGGAAAAACAGACAAATTCAGAAACAGACACCCCCCCAAGAAAAGCAGTCTGCAAATTGAAAAGAACAATTGACTTACAAAACAGTTTATCTGGGAGCATTATGGGAGGGGGAGTCAAAGAAGTCAAAATGGTAAACATAACTGCATGATCAAAGCCCTGCATGTTAAAAAAAGGATGAGGCTTCAATCATGTGGTTGTAGCCACCATCTTTACTGTTTTGACACACCCCCTTCCCCCATCCAGAAGCTCCCAGTTCATCCCTTGGTAACAAATAGCAAATAGATCATCTGTACGATTCTTCTAAGTCAAAGAAAAAAAAATGTGAGAAAAAGAGAACTTACCCATCGTATTTTTCTAGATGAATTTCAAGTAAGTTATCCTTAGCATGATTGGCATGTTCGGTGACTATATGAGAAAAAAGTGAATCGATACTTTAAGACATATTTACAATGATATGGATAAAATCAGCTAAACTCATGAAACAATTTTTGAAAGTATATAATTTGAAAATATATAACTAATATTGATGATCACTTAGAACAGTTTTGGTTGAGGTTCATTTTTTTCAGCTAATGGAAAATTCACTTCTGCCAAAGGCATTGAGTAACCCAAGTCTGATGAATTTATGGCAGAAGCCCTTGCTTCATATGACTTTGTATTTTCTAAATGATTCTTGTAATTCAAAAATAAAACTTTTGAGGTGCATATTTATCTTCTTTGGCAACATTTCTTTTAGCATCACCAGTTTTCGCTTTTGTAAAGTGTCCATATCCACCATGACAGTTCATTTCTGAAGGGGTGAGATCTTCATGACTGGAGTTTAATTCAGCAAAATGGATGGAGACACCCAGCTAATTTTATTTTATTTAGTTCATAGATTTAGGTAGCTGGCCATTCAAATATATGGCCTTTGATAAATAACAGCTCACTTATCTCTGTGGCCAGTCTTAGAGCACATAGTCAAATCTGTTTTAGAAGTGAAGATTTGGGACCAGAATGGGGTTCAAATCTATCCACAGCCCTGGAAACTCACAATTTGACTAATACTAGTTACATTTCCTCAGCTCAACCTACTTCTTATTGTTTTTGTGCAGATAATATGAAGAAATATATGAAGAGATATAAATTTATCAAATAAAATAATGGAGTAAAGGCCTCTCCACCAGCAAATACTAACTAGATAATGCCTGTGTAAACCATATTGACACAACACTAACCTGTCAAATAAGTGAGCTGTACAAAACAATCTGCTCTGTAGTAGTCAACTTAGCAATTGTAATTTCCTGAGGCAAACCCATTGTTTCAGAGGGGAAAATGAGCCATTACAGAAATATAGCAAAGTTAGTATTAAGCAGTTGTATAAAAGAAAGCACTAAAAAAATCAACAGCTAAGTGGCAATCAAGTTCTTTAAATGAATAAAGTAAAACCTCTGGAATGAAAATGCAGCGTTTGTTTAGCCAGTAATGAGCAGAATCTTAAACAAGCAGGTCCTCAGAAAAAAATAATTATTTTATATAGATTGATAATTTGTGGGAAGTACTTTCGCAGCTTTAGCAATTCTGGCAGATGCTTTTTGCTCAGTCATTTAGAAGCATTTCTCAGCATTATAATAATCATTGGGTTTTAATAAAAAGTGGCTCAGCAAAAAAGAAAGTTGCTAAATTTCTACTTCGCAATATTGCTTCTCAAAATGGACTATCTTGCAATCTGAATGTGTATCAGGACACTGTTACCTCCTAGTTCAGGCATGTCAAACTCGCAACATATTGCGACTTTTTCCCCATTGCCGGCAATGGGGCGGGCGTGACGCATTCGGCCTGCGGGCCGGCAGTTTGACATGCCTGTCCTAGTTGGTGGGATGTTGCAGGGGGGGTCATCAGATTAACAATCCAACTTTGAATGGAATTCTGTAATAGTATGTGGGAATAACCTTGGGAGACAGGAAGAAGAGCCTCAGACTAAGTAACAGTCAGGTAAGAGGCAGCTGAGTCAGTAGAAAGAATGGGGGGTGTGGCAAACAACTGAAAAAGAACAACCTTAGTTTCTTGGACTGTAAAGGTAAGGAGAAAAAATTTACTTTCAGACTTGCAAGATTATGTTAATGTAACCTTATAATAAAGACAGAGCTATTATTCCTGGATGGGCTTGACTACCTGATAAGGCTGACATCAACTTTACAAGTTTGAAAGTACTTTTCTTCTGTCTCCCCAAGGTCTCCCATTCCTACCTACCATGACAGACTCCCTGTAATTTTCTTTCAAAAGCTGCTGTTTTTGAACAAAGATAACTCTTAACAAATGTAGCCAAAGTAAGAAATCATGAAGATTCAGAGAAAATGCAGAGCGATTTTGAAACGTTCTTTTGGAAAGAGCTAAACAAGGAGCCCTCCAATGGAGGAAGTGGAATTTTGTAAATGGGTTGAGCCAGCAAGATCAACTGTCACTCAGCAAGGATGAGTAAATGTTGCATAGATTTATGCAAGAAGGAGGATGTGCTCATGGGAGAACAGAATGACCAAAGGCCAGAACAGGATGACCTTAACATCCTGAATCCCCATGGACTCAATTCTCATAATTTGTAATTTCATATTCTGTAGGGCAAATAGTGTTGAAGTAAACTAGTTTCAACTATTTTTTTCTTTTTCTTATCTATCTATATATTCTTAAAACAACATTGATACTGTGTGTGTGTACACACGCATATGCACACATACAGCATCAATGTTATTTCAAGATTATTCCTAAAGAAGTTTTATCAAAAGCTTTATTCAAACAGAGAAATGGGTAAAAGCATGCTAACAGTGTTTGAAAAGCCCTGCTCACCATTAGATGGTACCGACTGATTAAAGACAGACTCAGATTATCTCTACGGAGGGGCCTTTGCTTGCACATTAAGTCCATTTAAATGTACTTTTGATCAGACTTTAAGACCATTTCCAAAGGGAAACGTGGGAGGGGAACAGAATTTCAGGCAGGAAATGGCAGCTGCTGTTAAAAGCAGTACAGACCAATCAGCTTGACATCAATACCTGCGAAAATCCTAGAAAAGGTAATCTACTAGCAGATTTGGGAGCACCTAGAAATGAACAAAGGGATGACTGGAAGCCAGCCTGGGTTTGTTAAAAACAGATCATGCCAGACAAATCCTATTACCTTCTTTGATACAGTGGCTAAATTTGTGGATTAGGGAAATGCTGTGGACATAGTTTTCTTAGACTACAGTAAGGCATTTGACAAAATAGATGATGCCTACCCTTTCATAAGATAGAAAAACCAGATGGATTCTCAGTAAGCTGACCAACCACACACAGCAAGTAGTCTCAATGGAACTATATCTAAATGGAGGGAAGCATGCAGTGGGGTACTTCAAGTTCTGCCTTGGGCCCAGTGCTCAACTTCATAAATGATCTAGATGAGGGGATGGAAGGGGAACTTATCAAATTTGCAGGCAACATCAAACTGGGGGAATTGTCAGCACTTTGGAAGATAGACTCAAGATTCAGAAGAATCTTGACAGACTTGAGCATTGGGCCCTATCCAACAAGATTCAGTGGTGAGAAAAGTTAAAGTCCTACACTTAGGCAGGAAAAAAAACAAACGCACGAGTATAGAACAGGTGATACAACAAAAGTAACTGCAAGAGGGATTTGTGTCCTACAGGACCATAAGCTAGGTATGAGCCAGCAATTTGCTGCAGCAGCCAAAAGAGCTAATGCAGTCCTAAGCTGCATCAACAGAAGTACAGAATCACAATCACAATAGTACAGCTCTATAATGCATTAGTTTGGCCATACTTGGAATATTGTGTCCAGTTCTGGATGTCACAATACAAAAAGGATGCCGAGACCCTAGAAAGAGTGCAAAGAAAAGCAAGAAAAATGATAAGGGGTCTGGAAGCTAATGATCCATATGATGAATGGTTAAGGGAATTAGGTCTGTCTAGCCCAGGGATGGGGAATCTTGGCTCTTTTATGACTTGTGGACTTCAGCTCCCAGAATTCCTGAGCCAGTCATGCTGGCTCAGGATTTCCGCGAGTTGAAGTCCACAAATCATAAAAGAACCAAGGTTCCCCACTCCTGGGCTAGCCTAACAAAGAGAAGGATTGGGGTGACATAATCGCCATCTTCTGATACTTGAGGAGCTGTCACAGGGAGGAGGGTTTCAGTTATTCTCCAAAGCACCTGCGGCCAAGACAAGAACCAATGACTGGAAGCTTGTTAAAGAGAGATCCAACATGGAACTAGGGAGAAATATCCTGACAGTAAGAACAACTAAAAATGGAACAGCATGTCTTTCAGAGTTGTGGGTGTTCCATCAATGGAAATCTTTAAGAAAGGAAAAGATTGGATAGCCATTTGTCCAGGATGCAACACCCTGCCTTGGGGAGGATGTTGGACTAGAAGACCTCCAAGGTCCCTTCCAGCCTATGATTCTATGAACAGTATCTATCTAATAGGTATGCTGGAATGGAGAGTTGGTCAAAATGAGGATTATTTAGAGAGTAGATACTTCTTTTTCACTGGGTAAAATGGTTTTCCTCACAAGTTCAAAATTATGGCCCACAGTTAAATATAATTAAACAAGGTAACCAATCAATTGGCTTAATTGTGCCAAGCTCTGCATGTGCTCTTCAAGTTCAAGATGAAAAGCTGAAACATCTCTTTATGTAAACAAGCACCTTGGAGATTAATAATCCCAGAAACCACTTGCCAGACTATTTCTAAAAGTAACTTTCTCAAACTTAGTGTATTACAAGTGCTTTTGGATTATGACTCCTCAATTTCTTCAATATTTCGGGAGGGCATCGAATTGGGGAAATCTGCTGTATGAGGAAACTATAATGCTGTAATTCAAGGCAGTTATTTAGAGGAGTCAGTAAACTCAAATGAATAACTCACCTATAACATCAGTCGCGATGGAAGCCAGACTAAACAACGGAGCCACTTTTTGTTCATATATTCTTTCTCCTTGTGATTTTCCACTATGTGGATTAATATATACAAGCAAGCGCTTTGGTCTGGAGGCTGCCAACATGAAAGAGACAAAGGAGGCCATGAGATTATTTGCCCTTTAGTTACTCTAGAACAGGGGTGTCAAACTCAATTTCATTGAGGGCCGCATTAGCATTGCGGTTGCCCTCGGGGGGGCAGGGGTGTGTGTGGCCAGGGTGGGTGCAGCCTACTGGGTGGGTGTGGATGGAGTGGGTGTGGCCTACTGGGTGGGCATGGCCAGCTCTACATCATTCGCATCAAGGGTGCCTGTGGGGGCCTGGGCAGGAGTGGGACAGATCTGAGGGTCTCTGGCAGAAGGGGGTGGGACCGGGGCAAGCGCCAAGGCATGGTCCATTTCTTCATTCCTCACAAAGGGTGACACCTCCCCAGCATGCACCCAGGGGACGGGGCTGACGCGGCAGGGGCTGGTTCCTCGCTGTTTCTAGACGGCCTTGTGGAGCTAAGACTGAATGCCTTTCAGCATAGATGGCCACCACAAAATTGTACACTGGCTCCGAGCCGGCCTGGGCCAGGGCCAAGGCAGCAGGGGCCGTTCCCTCACTGTTTCCAGGATGGCTTCGCAGGCCACATGAAACCACTTCGCGGGCCGCATCCGGCCCCCGGGCCTTGTGTTTGACATGTCTTCTCTAGAAGTTGCTGAACTACAAATTCTCAAATCTCTTTTTCTGCTCAGGAAAGGGAATCTAAAGCTAAGTCCATTGCAACTCAGGATTTCTCAGCCATTACTGAAAGATTTCCAGAGGGAGAGCTGGCCAATAATTGAGTTCCATTATTGAAGTTTTCTCATTCTAAAGACGTTTCTTCCAGCATTCAAATGTTATTTAAGCTCATTAGTCTGCCGAGAAAATAGATAAACCCTTGTTAAGAATTGTATTCTCCATGATGTCAATAGCTGGAGAATGTATTGTGTTTCTTCATATATTCCAACTAAATACACCTCAGCAAGTGTAAAGGCGAGGAGGCCCTTATGCTGCTTGAAATATAAGGATCTGCTTGCACTCATACAATTTCCCATCTTATTCAAAATGTAGGCAATAACAGTGTAAAAGCCCCCCATCATTACTGGCTTCATTTTTTTTTTCTCCTTCTCAGAAATTGGTTAGGCCCTGAGGAAAAAAACCCACAAAGGACTGGTATTCATTATCTGCAACATACTCTGTAAATCAAGTAGTTCTTTCAGTGTACATATCCATTGATTACACAGATGTTCATCAATGCACCAGAAAGTCACTTCGCTGCACCGCCAGCGGTGATGCTGTGCCCTCTTTATGTAATACACTGCAAAACATATACATACACAAATAAAAAGAGAATCACAGTTCCATACAAGCAATGTTGCTCTCATATATAATAACATGTAGCATTTACATAATACTTGAGAATTTTGAAAGAAATTCATGTCTGATAGTTGGTTGAGGCCATGGACGCTGAGAAAAAGAACAGGCTGCAAATCTGGGCAGGGTGGGCAGGCAATTCATCATCAGGTGACCCCTTGTCAATCTTTGAGATAGTGTCGTTTCCAAGTCAGGAAAACTTAGCTGGACTACATTTATCTGCACTGGTATAAAATATTTGCCCATCTTAGAACAAAAGATAAGGAGTTCTGCTCCTTCTCTGCCCCGTCGTACCAATTACCACTGAATTTATGAGTGGCTAGAACAGGGGAAGTGTTCTGAATCGTATAACTCTATGTAACCCTAACTAGAGAGCATGTATCTGTATGTTAGAATATCTGGCATTATTGAGTTAAGTGCTGTCTCCTTAAGAGATGGCTTATGGGAAATGTAGTTTTAGCTAGTTAGTCATCCCATGTTAATGGGACAGTGGGAGGAGTTCTAAAGGGTGTTGGGAGACTTCCTGGACACAAGCCAGATTGGAATGCCTTTGTCTGATAGAAGCATGGGCCATCAGATGTCACCAGATGACCATGCTTTAACGCTATAAAGATGCTATGGAGAAAGAGCATCATTCTTTCACCTATGGGAATGAACAAAGATGTATTTTCCAGAAGTAACAACCACAGCATAAATGCAAGTAATCTCTCTGATTAAATATGTTTTTGTTATGAAATTATTCCTATTGAGTTTATCTATCTAATCTGATTTATAAGGCGTTTTAACTCAGGATCAGTATAGGTAGGCAACCTCAGTTCTGGGAGTTGAAGTCCATGAGTCATAAAAGAGCCGAGATTGCCTACCCCTGGGCTAGAACTACAGTACGTACCAAAAAGTAATGGTGCTGAGCAAAGCTGTGAGAGAGCTGTGAAATTTGATTTAAGGCCAAATTAGTCTTTTTTTTCAAATTTTGTGACTTTTTAGATGTGTAAACGTCAGCTTTCAGAATTTCCCAGCCCACGTGCTGGATAGAGAATTCTGGGAGCTGAAGTCCACATACCTTAAAGTTGTCAAGACTGAAAAACAGTGATTTAAATTGATTCGGCTAAGTTAAATAAGGTTTAACTTATTCCACACATTAAAGAGTTTCCCCTTTTCATTCTATTCAAAATCACATTTCAGCAGCCACTATTGGAGAGGGTTATATTTCTAAGGTTTCTAGGGCAATGCATACAGTCCACAGCAACTTACCAACAATCTTAGAAAATAACTGAGGGTCAGGTTTATGGCTGAAGTGTTGGATTAAGAGTAGACCCAGGTTTTAAGCCACCTTCATCCACAGATGTTCCTGGGTAACTATGCATTGGTCCTTTAGCCCCACCTACCTTACAAGGTTGTTGTTGTGAAAAAAATAAGATGAGGGCATGCTAAGTACACTGTCTTCAGCTAAATGAATAAATTAGTGATTCAGTCTTGTTTTCTGCATATTATGTATGGATTAAAAGAAAAGCAGAATGTGTTGGCTATGGACAGTTGACTGATTGATTGTATTTCTAATCCACTTGTTTCTCTGAGAATTTCAAGGTGGGGGACTCCCCTTATTTTATCCCCATAACAACCACCCTGTAAAGACAACAGACTGAATCCAAACAAGCTTTCTGTAATTAAGTGGGGATTAAACCTGGTGTCTATAGCCCAAATCTAATACTCAATCATTATATTATACCAACAACAATATAAATTTATTTGTGGTTCCAGGCCCCCCCCCCCACTTATTAATCTACAGAAGGTTTTTGTGATGAGGAAAATCAGAGAAATTGGTTGAAGTTTCCCAATTAAAAATTCATTGCAAGAATCAAGGAGATAATATTTTAAATATGTAAAAAAGCTCCTTTCAAAGATCTTGTGTAAAAAGAATCTTTCCCTGCTTAAGAAAACCATTTGTCACAGATAGTCATGCATATGAGTTTTCAATGTGCAGAGAGAAAAAAGGAAACTGTAATAATTTGGACACCTAGGTTTATTCATTCATTTAGTTCTTGATGTTAGATAGTTTATTTCATCAATGCAGAATATTTGATTATCATTGGATACCATGCAAATGAGCGATGTGGTGACCTAGTGGTGAAGACCCTCACCTCCCGCTTGAAAGGTTGAAAGTTCAATCATAGGTAGTGGCAGATGTTTCTCTTCTAGGGCACAGGAAAAAAAAAATCTAGTGCGAACTCACATAAGCATCAGAAAGGGCATTCAGCCAGTAAACGCTCAGCTCCAACCAGTCGCCCCAACTCTACGTTGGTCATGTAAAAACTATATAAGTTAGGCAGATGTTACTCTGCAGCATTTACAAAAGTTTAAAAAACTGAACACATGGCATGACAGAAATTCTGAGTTCAAGGAGCCAAATAGCAAGAGATGAACTATGAAAATGAAAAAAAAAAAAGAATGACTTGTCGTTAAAAGACATCTTGACAATCCGCTTTCTGCAAAGAAGGATTTCTGCATAGAAATAATTTTTGATGCTTCACTGTAGCAAATGTGGGAGAAAGGTTGAATTAATTCAGATCTTCTGTCAAGTAATAACTTATTTCAATTGGCATGCAACCTCTTGATAAGGCAGTCACAATTGTAGCTACTGCAAAAGAGGAACATTAAGTTTCATCAGGATTCCTTCCTTCCTTCCTCCCTTCCTCCCCCCTCCCTCTCTCTCTCTCTCTCTCTCTCTCTCTCTCTCTCTCTCTCTCTCTCTCTCTCTCTCTCTCTCTCTCTCTCTCTCTCAGGAAGGTATGTGAATCCAGCTTCTTTGATTCCATATATTATGCAAACCCAGCATGTCAATTACTTAAAACCTATTTGCACTAAAACGTGGCTTATTGTCTTACCAGTGAATGCTTGAGGCTTTGCCATTTTTTGCCATCTTCCAGCATGAGATTGTTTCCCCTCTCTTTCTTTCTCCTCAACAGCAATGATCTCAGAAATGGGCACAGCATAGCTCTCTGCAAAAAAAAAAGGAAAAGTTGTAAAGTAAACAAACAGCCTGGCTGGACCAGAACCAAAGGAATCTCTTGCGCAGAAAAGTCTATGGGAAGGCCAAAACCAGAACACTATCTTTGTAACAAAAGCAGAAACATTCTTTAGGCATTCACTTCAGAGGACATTTAAATTAAGCATGTTGCTGAAGAAAAGCAGAAAAATAAACTCTCAAAATACTCTGAAGACAAAATCTCTGGTCCCGGTAACCGATCCAGATTGGATCCTGCAACATTATCCCGGGACACGTATATTCGCCTTCATTCTCAAAATACATTTCATGAATGTATTTTGACAGGTTGAAATAACAAGGTTGATCCAAGGTACTAGGGATGGTCTCCAACATATGTACCACACAGTATCTTTTTTAGTAGAGCCAAAAATGAAAAGATTCTACTGCGGGAAACTTGGATGGAGGAAGGAATCCAAGTGACATGTATATTGATTCTACTCTTATTTTTAAATGGGGAAAGAGATCAGTGATGGGATACAGTACAGTTCTCCTCAACCTTGACTATTTTAAGATGTGTGGACATCAACTTCCAGAAATCCACCCCCCCTCCGCCAGCCGTTGACTGAGCTGCCAAGGTTGAGAAACACTGGTCTAGTAATTCAATATTATTTTAGAGTTTTCTGTCCTAGATTCTTTTGCCCCAGATAAGAGGATAGCAATCTTTATAGGATAATATACTGTAATTGGGAAAATGTTTATTATTATAGAAGAAAGAACTAAAGTAATATCTTCCCCAGGTTGAACTTGGTTCCTGGTGCCTTCATGCCACCATGGTCCCGTCGGTGTCTGGACCACTGGACGGAAGTGGTTTGTCACTGCCACCTTTTCAACCTAGCCTACAACTCTGGGAATTCCTAGTACTCATCCAAATACTATCCAGGACTTTGGGTGCTTAGTATATCAAATTAGTGACTATTAGATCTATGCAAAAATTATTCTATAAACTTGTTTCAAACATTAGATGAAGACAACATATCTCTCTTTTTTCCAGGCTCTGCAGGAGTTTTAAGAGTTACACTAAAGGCACACTGCTTTCATGGTCTGAGTGAAAATTGTAAGGCCCGAAGCAATTTTTCCCCTCAAATCATTTTCAAAGCAAGCACAGCCCTAAGTAATTATGCCAAGAGAATAATGAGATTTGGACTGAAATGAAAACCACAAGGTAGGTTCTTAGTACTATGATTTAGGACAGTAGTGGCGAACCTATGGCACGCGTGCCAGAGGCAGCACTTGGAGCCCTCTCTGTGGGTGTGCATGCCATCGCCCCAGCCCCGCCTCTCCCCGCAGCCCCCTCACCAGCAGCCCCCCTGGAGGAGAGACACCCCTGGGCGCAGCCCGCACGGAGCAGCGCAGCCAAGGACATAACCAGGCAGCAGGGACAAGACTCCACCCTCGTGCCCCATAGCGTGCAGATGATGCTGCGGGGTGAGGGTGGAGGGCGTGGCTGCCATGGCACTACAGGGCTGCCTGGGTGATCTGCGGTGGGCCATGGAGGCGGTGCGTGGCTGGGGCGGGAGGCGGAGCGGGGACAGGGCGGTTTTGGGGCACTTGGTCTCTAAAAGGTTCACCTTCACTGATTTAGGAGTTTATGAGGATATCAACTTCATAAAAGAAAAGTTGCAAGCAGCCAATGTTTATGAATAAAATCTAAATCTTTGAGTAAAATTTAGAATATAGATCTGTATCTTATGGCTAAGTGTAACTGCCCCAAGTCCCTCCTTGATGGAAATGGACAGTTTAGACACAGGAAATACAAACAAACAAAGTAGCACAAATGTACACCATGGCTGTCAAAAATGGGACTTATATACTGTGTTTCCCTTAAAATAAGACCCGGTCTTATATATTTTTTTGCCTCCAAAAGAGGCACTAGTACTTATTTTCGGGGGATATCTTACTTGCTTATCTCAGGACAGCCGCAGCCAGGCCTCCCACACCCCGACACCTGTTGCGCCGCCGTCTGAATTCTTGTGGCCACTCACAGCAGGATGTCATGTGGCGCATTGCGCTGGTGCCTCACTTGCGGCAGGCCATGTGGCACATCGCACCAGTGCCACCACCAGCGACAGGACACCATGTGGCATGTTGTGTTGTGGCGCACGTGAGCAGTGGCAACGGTGCAATGCACCACTTGGCATCCTGCCACGAATAGCAGCACCGGCATGACGCACCACATGGCCTCCTGCCGCAAGCGGCCACCGGCAACCAGAAGAAGTGAGCCAGTGGCCACACAGGCTTCTGCTGGACGGCGCTGCTGCTGCCACTACTGCAAGGTGAGGCAGGTGTCGGGGTGTGGGAGGCTGCGGGGGCCCTCAGGTAAGCAGATGCGGGGCACATGGGATAGCTCCATCCCCCATCCCAGCTTGGTTTATATGCATGTGCCTCGCCCCACCTCGTACAACCAGATGGTGGGACGAAGTGGGCAGGGTCTTAACTAGAGCTTATTTTGGGGGTAGGGCTTATATTAGGTGCACACGTAAAAATCAAGCTAGGGTTTATTTTCGGGATGGGTCTTATTTTCGGGGAAACACGGTAGGAGGTGAAAAAATAGCATGGGGGAAAAAAATGTCAGATGATCTTCTCCAAAAGACCCCTTGCTTTAAAAATATGTCAGTAAGTGCTACATGCATTCATTTATTTATGCTGAATCTTTTTCTGTTCATATTGAGATAGTTGCATGGTTCTGGAAAACCTGTATTTAGCTATTTATTTCAAAAACAACAATGAATTGCAAACACAGAGCTTACTTTACCTCTGAATCCATGCATAGCAACCAGTGTGTTAAGCCTGATACAAAGCTTTATCTCTGAGTCCTAAATGATTAAAGTAGTATTTATTAGACCTGGCAATTTTAAAATGAATGGACTTTAACATTTGGCTGGGAAATTCTGTTGGCTGAAGTCCACTCATCTTAAGAGTTAAATTTAAATTTAAAATATACCATATTAGGATTGGCTAATCAGTAAGAGAAAGCTGATGCCTATAATCTGTAGAAGATCAAGAAAGAAGGAAATGCTAAGGATATTAAAGGGCAGACAAGACATGAGAGAGGAAGTGATTCATCTTAACTGAAATTTAAAAAAGCAAGAGAAATAACTAGGAACAAAATGTATTCTAGCATTTGTGACTATGAGACCAGAGGGATAGTTTCCCAAGTCTTTTTGTCATTAAAGAGAACATCACATACCCCTTTTACTCCAGAGCCTCTGTAGGTACCAATCCCTGGCTAGCTTTATCTGGGTTTGAATGCTATGCAGATTTAGCTTCCAAGTCTTGCATTAGAACTCAACAATGAGTGCATGGCTTGGAACTGTTCAGAGAAGTTGATGTGCTATTCCTGGATTGCCTCTTTGCTGGTAAACATATGTCTCATCAAAATATTTGAATGGACGCAAATATTTATATCACTCTTTAAAACCATAGTTTATTAATTAGAACTGCTTGTTAAGCCATAACCAGTAAGTTCTGGGTGCTCACTCCAAACCCAAAGAAACTATTTTATTGCAATACATGCAGATCCCAGCACCGGGAAAATCCCAAGTACAGTGAGGGAAAAAACTATTTGATCCCCTGCTGATTTTGTACATTTGCCCACTGACAAAGAAATGATTAATCTATAATTTTAATAGTACGTTTATTTTAACAGTGAGAGACAGAATAATAACAAAAAAATCCAGAAAAATGCATTTCAAAAAAGTTATAAATTGATTTGCATTTTAATGAGTGAAAACATGACTTAGTATTTGGTGGCAAAACCCTTGTTGGCAATCATAGAGGTCAGATGTTTCTTGTAGTTGGCCACCAGGTTTGCACACATCTCAGGAGGGATTTTGTCCCACTCCTATTTTGCAGATCCTCTCCAAGTCATTAAAGTTTCAGGGCTGACGTTTGCCAGCTCGAACCTTGAGCTACCTCCACAGATTTTCTATGGGATTAAAGTTTGGAGACTGGCTAGGCCACGCCAGGATCTTAATGTGCTTCTTCTTGAGCCACTCCTTTGTTGCCTTGGCCATGCGTTTTGGGTCAGTGCCATGCTAGAATACCCATCCACAACCCATTTCCAATGCCTTGGCTGAGGGAAGGAGGTTCTTATCTAAGATTTGACAGTACATGCCCCTATCCATCATCTCTTTGATGCAGTGAAGTTGTCCTGTCCCCTTAGCAGAAAAACATTCCCAAAGCATAATGTTTCCACCTCCATGTTTGACGGTGGGGATGGTGTCCTTGGGGTCATAGGCAGCATTCCTCCTCCTCCAAACACAGCGAGTTGAATTGATGCCAAAAAACTCGATTTTGGTCTCATCTGACCACAACACTTTCACCCAGTTCTTCTCTGAATCATTCAGATGTTCATTGGCAAACTTCATACGGGCCTGTACATGTGCTTTCTTGAGCAGAGGGACCTTGCGGGCGCTGCAGGATTTCAGTCCTTCACAGTGTAGTGTGTTACCAATTGTTTTCTTGGTGACTATGGTCCCAGCTGCCTTGAGATCGTTGACAAGATCCTCCCGTGTAGTTCTGGGCTGATTCCTTACCATTCTCATGATCACTGAAACTCCACGAGGTGAGATCTTGCATCGAGGGAGATTGACAGTTATTTTGTGTTTCTTCCATTTGCGAATAATTGCACCAACTGTTGTCACCTTCTCACCAAGCTCCTTGGCGATAGTCTTGTAGCCCATTCCAGCCTTCTGTAGATCTACAATTTTGTCCCTGAGATCCTTGGACAGCTGTTTGGTCTTGGCCATGGTGGAGAGTTTGGAATCTGATTGATTGCTTCGGTGGACAGGTGTCTTTTATATAGGTAACAAGCTGAGAGTAGGAACACTCCCTTTAACAGAGTGCTCCTAATCTCCGCTCGTTACCTGTATAAATGACACCTGGGAGCCAGAAATCTTGCTGATTGATAGGGGATCAAATACTTATTTCACTCATTAAAATGCAAATCAATTTATAACTTTTTTGAAATGCGCTTTTTTTTGTTGATATTCTGTCTCTCACTGTTAAAATAAACCTACCATTAAAATTATAGACTGATCATTTCTTTGTCAGTGGGCAAATGTACAAAATCAGCAAGGGATCAAATAATTGTTTCCCTCACTGTAGATAGATTTTTAAAAAGTCCCTGAAAGAAGCAATAGCAACCTAATTCCATATTATTGTCAAAATAATTACAAGAAGTTATCAGCAGCTGAGTTTGACTTCCTTACTTACAAATCACATTAGCCAACATTTCTCCCAGCCCTTCCATTCTCTGACTGAACCACCCAGAGGAAAAAGTAGTTTCTTGCTGGACAACTGCAGCTTTTCTGCTTCTTTCTCAAGACTCCAAGGAGAGAGCTTTATCTCTGCTGTTTCAGTATACCAACAAAGAGGAAAAATAACCGCTCTCAAAAGAAACCAGCATGGCTGCATAAAGAACTCTCAGATAAATTGAAAGATAAAAAGGACAAGTATAGAAAGTGGAAAGAGGGACACATAACTAAGTCAGAATATCAGCAAATAGCCCGAGCCTGCAAAGATGAAGTGAGGAAAGCTAAGGCTCAAAATGAACTAAGGCTTGCGACCAAAATCAAAAATAACAAAAAAAAGCTTCTTTCAACATATAAAAAACAAAAAAAAGTGAAGGAAATGATTAGCCCATTAGTGGGTGAAAGTGACAAGAAGGTGACAAGCAACAGGGAGAAAGCGGAACTATTTAACTCGTTTTTCGCATCTGTCTTTACACAAACGGAAAAAACAGACCAACCTATCAAAAACAGTGCAATAAAAAACAGAATAGAAACACAAATTAAGATAGGCAAGAAAATGGTAAGTGAGCATCTGTCCAGCCTAGACGAGTTCAAATCACCAGGACCAGATGGATTACACCCCAAGGTTCTCAAGGAACTGGCAGATGTGATCTCAGAACCACTGAACTATATTTTTCAAAGATCCTGGAGCACTGGGGAACTACCAGAGGACTGGAAAAGAGCTGATGTAGTTCCCATCTTCAAAAAAGGGAAAAAAACGGATCCAGGAAATTACAGACCTATCAGCCTGACCTCAATACCTGGGAAGATTCTGGAATAGCTAATCAAACAACAAATCAGCGAACACCTACAGGCAAACAAAGTCATTACTAAAAGCCAACACAGGTTTGTCAAAAACAGATCATGCCAGACAAATCTTATTGTATTCTTTGACCAAGTGACTATACACATAGTGGACCGTGCCCCCTATGATGAATGAGAAACTTCTCTAAGAAACATAAAAAAAATGGGATGTATCCACCCTGCTTTAGGACTGGACTAATATACTGTATATTGCAGGCTGGCAATCTGGTAAAAACCACTTGTAGTAAAGATTTTTGGCTGACTGTCAAGTCATGCAAAACTAATGGTCAGAAAGAAAGCTAAGATTTTCTATTAGATCTGCCAGTTTACCGGATGTCAGTAACAGAAAATACGATAAATACAGTAATTCCAAAAACACTGAATGCTGCACACTGAAATTACTGAGTATGCCATAAGCAATACTGAAAATACAGTAACGGAACATATCTTAGAAAATATTAGTAGCAGATTTTTTTTGGTAAAGAATTCAGCCCATCTAAAGAAAAGCATAATCTGTAAATTCAAAATACTGAAACTTCTTAAAATTGAGTTCTGTTAAAGCTAGGTACATTTCCTTCAAAGAACTGGGATTGGGATAATGGGTAAATCTTAGATAGAAATTGCTTTCTTACATAGCTTCTTTTGAGGGATTGTTACTTTGGTAGTGGAACACTTGGTTGATGTGGCTGGTTTTACGATAGACTTGTGTTTTTAATTTGTTGACAAAATAGCCAGGAAGGGCAATGAGATATTGTTTTCTTCTTCCCTTGTGAACTTTATTCCTTTGAAGAAGTTGTTAATAGTTTTGTGTATATTCTCTGATTGGTCCTTTTTTATTATGACAACGGTGTTATCTATGTATCGGATCCATAGGACCTTTGCATTCCATTCTAAAGCTCCCACTTATCAATATAAAGGTAGGTTATGAATCTGAATTGTGTATCTTAAAAATCTCACAACAATAGGCCTGGTAACTTTTATCCTGAATA